AGCAGGCAACTATTAAGCCCGACCAATCACGTTAGAGTTTTTGATAAACACAAATGAATTAAGACACTCCAAATAACCACTCTAATCAACCTGATTGGTCAAGCTTAATAGTTGACTGCTAGGGCTAGACACTTCTTTTACGTACCAACGGATCGGGCCAGCGCGATCGATGCTAGGCAGGAGTGGGGAGTGCCAGCCTTATGCCGTATGTTATCGGATCCGGACCTAAAGGAACTAGAGGAACTAAATAAAAGACTAGTTTACGTATGGATCAGCCAGCGCGATTGATGCTAGGCAGGCGTGGGGAGTGCGAGCCGTATGTTATCGGATCCGGACATAGAGGAACTATTAAAAGACTAGTTCACGGGAATCTATTCAGTCGGCAGATCCGAGACATAATACAAGGCGACGACGATGGATTCGGTCTTGTCTATTGCTGCAGCCGGCGCGGCGTCATTAACACAGAAAATTGTCGTGGATACTGTTTTTGATTTTTAGTTTGTTTTTTAAATATTTTATGGGAATGTTTCACTTTAGGTTCCTAAAATTAAGAAGTATCTTATAAAACGAAGTAGATATTCTGAAGTTTTAGACAAAAACAAAAAACTTGAAGTGAGGAAAAACCCAATTTTTCGTAAATTTTTTGTAATATTTGCTCCAATTGATTTGTGATATAGTTTTTTAAATTTTGATTTGAGTTTTTTTTTATTTTTTTTATCTGCTATAAAACTTACCTATATGTTTTTAACATACACAATTACACGTCTCGTTATATCTCCGTACATTATAAAAATTATACAGACCATACTGTGAATAGTTCTGACTGACAACGAAACGCATTAGCAAGCAAGGGGGATGTCAATGTTATTCGGGAACTATTGTGAACTAAAGACCTAGTTCAAGGAACTATTCCTCTGGAGGAACTAGAACTAAGGAACTAGTTCCTCCCAAGGAACTAGAATTCCCACCTCTAATCTGAGGTGCGACTCAAAAAGTGCATAATAAACAGTTCTACCCACTTACATGTTAAGCTCCTTAGAAACAGATCTTAATGCAAAACAGGCAGAGCTTAATATTTTCGACAAAACGTCGATATGCATGTCCCATTTCAGAGAATTGTCTACAACAAGCCCTAAGAATTTTACAGATTTTACGACGTCAATGGTGGTGTTGTCAAGTACAAAAGGCTGCAGCAAATTTTTATACGACAAAGCTTTAGTTTTAGAAATGTTGAGACTCAGGAGGTTCGAATCGCACCAAGATTTAATGGTGATTAAGTCATTTGATATAATCCTATGAAGTGCCGTGGCGTCCTTGTTGCTCCAAGTGAAGCTAGTGTCGTCCGCAAAAAGACATATTTTACCAAAAAAAAGTATCACAATACAATTCATTCAAACTAAAAACTCATAATACAAAACTAAAGTGTCAAAACGAATTACAAATGCCAAGAAATAAATAAATACATGTGGCAACTTGGCAAAAACTAAAAATGAACAGCGTGGTCAAAGGTTCCAGTTCCCACAAGATACAGTCAGCACCTTCAAAGACACAATTTTGAAGGTACCAACAAACGAGAGGAAAAACTTCTTTCAAAAGTGAGCTAAAATTCAAGTTACATTAATTTGTTGTATGGTAAGTATAAAAATTAAATTCTACCTGATGGTACCGACCAGATAAATTCCAGCTTCGCCGCTACTGATCAGTACCGCGCATTGTTATTCAAATACGTTTAAAATCAAATCAATTAACTCGTCTGTTTGCTCTCTTCGGTGAAAGAAGAAGCAGAAGAAGAATTAAAGAAGAAGAAGCAGGTACGTCTGGGGACAGTACCAGGCATGGACTCGCAGTGTTGACGTACGTGTCCAAGTACCCAGATCCGCTGTCCACTGTTTGTTCTCTATTTTTTCCTCCTTTTATTCTTTGACTTATACAAGAAGAAAATCAAGAAACTCCCAAAGTATGGTTTATAGAAAAAAAAAAGGTTTTATTTGAATATGGTCAACACTGTTAGGCATCCTGTTTGGTTTTTGATTGATTTTAATCCTTGGTATTAACAAAGTTGATGTAGCGTTGATTAAAAAACACATTTTTTCCATAGCAACTGTTAAAATTGGCTTATATCTATCAAAAATAGTAGATAAAATAGTACTTTAACAGCGAGGATAGGTTAAAAAATGTATTTCTTCTCGCACGTTTTTTAATTGCTTCCATTTCTGAAAATTTTTGTATTCCTTTTCATAAGTTATTCGGGTTTTAAACGGAAGTAGTTTGAAAATGGCGTTTGTCACCTCAGCCTGAATATCTGTTGGTAATTTACTTATTTCGTTTTGAGTCATTTCTGGTTCCAATTCAATCAGCAATCGACACGAAAGAGAATTAAAAAATATTGACTCAAAACTGACTCAACAGGTAGAAATCGTGGCGAAAGATCCTTAACTAAACTCGTTATGATTATTTAAAGAAAAAAAAATGCACGTAAAAGTGCTATTTATACTACTAACATCCACTTCAAAATCCATTTTTCGAAATTCTTTATCAATTTGAACAGAACACGAATCGGTAGCAAAAACTTGTTGATATATCAATAAAGAAAAAAATAAAATCTATCATTAATATTTCCTTAATCGTTTACATGTCAATATATTTAGAGAAAAACTCAAATAAAATTTGATTCAGAGTGGTAAAAAATGTAAACACATCAAAACTGCGAGGCCTTGACTTGTAAAAGAATATCTGTGATTATGGAGTGGAAATATAGGGTTTCCATATAAGTTTTTGAAAATTCCAAAACAAATTTACCCGTTTCAAATACAATTAGCATAAGCGTATACAATTATTCATAAAGCGCACGTAACCATAACCTGAATAATCGAGATTTGAAGTTTACCCAATGGCAGTGCAAATAGAAAATTTAGTTTGATTTTTTTTCGATAAGCTCTCTGGTACTCGATGTTTCAATAGAAATAACAACCTCAATTACAAGGGAATTTGTAAGAGATTATCTTTTAAATTGATTGGTTTTAGTTTCAAATCGAGAAATTGGATTTAAATCTGCTATTTTATTTTTAAAAATAAATCCACTTATCTTGTGTTAACCTTTGTCTAGATTTTTATTTTTTTTATTAATAAAAATGACCTATATATTTTTTCGTATTTCTATTTCTAACTGAAATGAATATTTTCAATTGCCTACCTGTCTATCAATATACAGGGAGTCCCAATATTCCGTGGATACAAATTAAATTATAGTCTGTACAACGACAAAATCTTTGACAGTGATAGATGTGTCTGTCATTTTAATTTCAAATAGTTTATTTTATTCAAAAAAGTATTAATATATGTATTTCAAATTTGAGTGAAGTGATTACTTCAAAATATTGTGAGAAAAAATCTGTATACTTAATACTGAAAAAATCTAATGGAGTTATTTTATTTCTATTTATTATTATATATTCTATTAATAACAACACTTACTGAATTTTGTATTCGGATTCCAAAAATACTTGATAGTTCCATGTCAACAGAATATTGGGACATCCTGTATAATAAATACAGTTATTAGAACTAAAACAAACACTTCCTTTTTAAATACCAATTAATCAAAATAATCAAAAAACGTATCGATCATTATTTGAGGATTAAGAACTTGTTAATCAGTGAAAAATACGTTTGGGCAATTGATCTAAATTTAATCCTTAATTTTTTAGAGATTTACTTTATTTTGAATTGGAAAATAAATACCAATATATACATACAATCAATTCTGAGTTAATCACCTAATTTCGTTGTTGGAATACGATTGGATTAGTTGGTCTGTCAATATTAATCAAGATATACCTGAGTGATATGTGTATAGGAATGAAACTGACTCATTTCTTGAAGGAATTCTGGATGATGCGAGTATATATATTCTGGGTTATAATAGATATATTGTGTTGTATTTTCCCAATCTTCTTCAAGGACCAAACGGATATTCATAATTTCGGTCTTCTTCAACAAAATCAATTACTTCTGCTCAATCTACGACACTAAGAACCATATTCAATCGTACACAACAATAATCACTAAAACCACCTCGTCATTATGAAGAATAACAACAAAAAGTAACGATAAATGAAGAAATTACAAAACGTTTGTGGCAAGTTCATTTTGCTCTTAGAAATGAGACTATAATGCAATTTTATCTATAATATAATATATATTATATAAAACAATATTTTTTTCCATAGCTAATCGTTTTTTAAAAAATATTCAGAAATTATTATTTCAAGGAATTTATTATGTGTAGAAAAAATATTGTGCTGGGTTGGCGTTGGTTTCTATTTAATTTGACAAATAAATAAAGCTGTCTCTATAGTTGTCAGTTTTAAGTCAATATTTTTTAATTCTCTTTCGTGTCGATTGCTGATTGAACTGGAGCCAGAAATGGCTCAAAACGAAATAAGTAAATTACCAACAGATATTCAGGCTGAGACGACAAACGCCATATCCAAACTACTTCAATTTAAATCCCGAATAACTTATGAAAAGGAATACAAAAATTTTCAAAAATGGAAGCAATTAAAAAGCGTGCGAGAAGAAATAAAGTTTTTAACCTATCATCGCTGTTAAAGTATCATTTAATCTACCCTTGTTGTTAAAGTACAATTTTAATAGTTGCTATGAAAAAAAAAACAATGTACTATTTGTTAATTCCATCTTTACTGTACTCCTACGCCTTACTTTCCCATAAAACAAGCCAGTACGTTTATTGGTGCCGATCTTACACCCATCAAACACCATCTTCGCGCTCTTTCCTCGCCAATCCACCCCCTCCACCGCCAACATCATCCCCTAACTACGTTTACGCAGCGCTACCGTTTCAAAATACACACAATCACTTGCAGTTAATAATCTATTAGGCGCACAGTAGCGAGACTCACCGCAGGCCGCTTTCACACCCCTTCGTGCTTCTCCGGCGGTTGCCGAGCAACTACGGGGTGGGTGGGAGGAGCTTCGAGTCCCCCCGGCCAATGGGAAGGCGCGCAAAGTGATGCGTGTAATGCCCTGGTCTAATCTGCCGGTAATGTACGGAGTTATTGTGTTTAATACGTTTGAAATAGGCGGTTGACGGAGGTTTTCGCGGGTTTTGAGTGTTTTTACACGCGATATGGCACAGTACGATGAAATTAAACCTTTGAACATGGACACGAAGCTTCAGGAATCCAAAAGATCGTTCTGTATAGACGCGTTACTCTCTAGAACCGACAGTACTACGCGTTCTTTTAGTCCAGAACCGTCACGAAGTACCTCGCCTACATCAACTATAAGGAGTAGGAGTCCTCCGATTTCGCCAGGAAGTGAGGAGGTAAACGGTGTGCAGGGAACGACCTTCGTACCAAGACCAGGACTGTTAAATCATCCGGGGTACCACCTGAACTACGGGTACCATCAGCCTCAGCAGCAACAAAGTTCGGCGTTTCATGCCCTTGACGGGGGTGTAATGCAGAAGGTTCATATTCCTGTAAACCCCCATAATCAGTTTCATCAAATCCAAATGGAATGGTTGGCTAGAACGGGGATGTTTTATCCAAGGTTGCAGGATCTTGCAGGTTAGTACTGTTTTTTTTTTATTAAATTCACATTACTGGCTAAATAATATACCGGCGGTATAAAAAAAAATACCGTCAGTTACGTTGGGAAAAACAATAACACAGAAAAACTGGTGAAACAAGGACGTCATTTTTGATTTAAAAAAAACTGCCGGCGGTATACAAAAAAATACCGTCACTTACGTTGGTAAAAACAATAACACAGAAAAACTGGTGAAACAAGGGCGTTATTTCTGATTTAAAAAAAAACTGCCGGCGGTATACAAAAAATACCGCCACTTACGTCGGGAAAACAATAACACAGAAAATCTGGTAAAACAAGGGCGGTATTTCTGATTTAAAAAAAACTGCCGGCGGTATACAAAAAATACCGCCACTTACGTCGGGAAAAACAATAACACAGAAAATCTGGTAAAACAAGGGCGGTATATCTGATTTTAAAAAGTATATACCGCCGACGGGCGGTATTTTTTATAAATTTAGCAACAACCGCCGTACTTTTTAACCTCGTTTTTTGGCGATGTTCATGTTAGTAAATATGTAAAACAATCTAAAGGCGGTCTTTCTTTCGTCTATTGTCTATACCGCTGGCGGTAATTTAAGAAGAACACGCCTTGAGTGACCATTTTCTGATGCGGGTCAAATACTCGTCAGCGAGTAATGGCAGTATGTATGTATGTATATGTAGACCTCGAAAGTCCATTTGTAGCAGTTGCTATACTTACAGCTCTACCATAAGATTCCTCTATTAAATATGCTATTACTTTCCTAAATCGTATACTGATACAAATTGAGCAACATCAGAAGTAGGTACTGCTTAGGCAGCATCATTGAGAATAACAAAATAAATTATTTGGTGATCTGTTAAAAAATACACATCATCAATAATTACTTATACTATAATAAGTCAGTCATCGAAATATTAGAGCACAGATATACAAAGAATCTTTGATATGTATTATTTGTTTAAACTCTCATGTTACTTGAAAAAGATTTTAGATACTCCCGGACGTCTTGTTGGACTTACAATACCACAAAGTGACTCTTCAATATAAAAAATAACAAATACATCCATTTCTTGCACCAAGTCTGGGTATTTCAAGAAATAATAGCTATTACAGTTGAAGGTTGGAAGTTTTGATGTTACAACAGCAAAATAAAACACTAATTCACCACAATACATCAAAACACTGTGTACTTTTAACCATGTTAGCACCATCAGCAGATAGGAACTATCGAAAATAGGAAATTTCCATCCTATCAAATAGTCAAGCAGCACTTAACGAGATCAACTCAGTAACCATCAATTCGAAGTTGGTCAACGAATGCCTAGAGAAGCTCAACAAATTAGGTAAAGAAAATACGGTCCTCCTACTCTGGGTGCCTGCTCACCAAGGGATAGAAGGCAATGAAAAAGCAAATGATCTAGCTAGGAAAGGAGCGAACACTCCACTAACTGAACCAGAACCGTTCTGTTTTCCAAACGGGAACCAACTGAAAGCGGAACTGAAGAATCTGGAAGACTCCATCCGTAACATGGAATGGGTGTCCTCCAACGGTCTAAGACACTCGAAAAAGTTCCTCAGAACGTACGACCGAGAAAAATCAAAGGTTTTCCTTGATTTAAGTACAAACAATCTTCGGGACACTGTCTCCTCAACGAACACCTCAGTAGGCTGAAGCGCCGAGACGACGACCATGAACTTTGGTACGTCTCATGTCGAGGATGGAGAGCTGGCCCCTGTGGAGCCGTCTCAGATACTGGCTTTCGTTAAAGCCCTGAGACTGTATGATGAGTTATAACTCGTTATAACTCAAGAAAGGGGAACACACAATAGATCTATAAACATTCTACATTCTACATCATCAGCAGATAAATAAAACTAAATAAGTATGACAGGAATGTATGTTAATTAAATTAAAACATATTTGTAAAAAAAATTGACATTATTTCAGGTCTATGATTAAAATGTTGGTAAATCACTGGAAAAAAAAGCAAAAAAATATGACAAATAGATATCGTTTTAGGGGTAGTTTTATAGGCTTATATGGCCCCATCCCGGTGAAAAAAACAACGTCACCCCTCTTTGAAACGCAAGATCGAGCGATTTTTCCTTGTTTGAGTCCAACAAACAACTCAGCATTGGTTCAGATCGTTCAAATAAATGGCATATGAATCGATATCGTAAATCAAGTTTTATTGTCGTGAAACATCGACATTTTTCGGAGATATTTAGGTATATTATTAATTACCCTTCAGGAATCGTTGGACATAAAAGAAATAGATTACTCTGTTTATTATAAGAAAATGATAAAATTTTGCCTGTTATTATTATCATCTATCTCACAAGGAAGGAGTATGATGTTAACCATGACTTTCAGATTCAGTTCTGTTTTTGAATTTGATTTGAAATTTTGTGGATTTGTCAGTCTCTACTGAGCTTATTTTATGTTATTTATTATTTACTAGCGTGTACCCGCGACTTCGTTCGCATCGAATTAATCATTTGTAATGGTGATGATAAAGCAAAACAAGAATTTCCATTAACATACAAACTGGATAAAATTTTCTCACGTTTACGTCAGCATGAGAATCGTTGGAATTTGACTTTCGAAAAATCCGTTTGCCAAAAATAAGCTGTTTACGTCAAGCAGTTTAAGCAGAATCGTGGTTAAGAAATTACCCAACTTTTTGGAACACCCTGTATGGTTTTTTAAAAAATTTCAAAATATGTAAAAAAACCAAATAAATTATACGTGTCCAAGCGTTTTCCCGAAAAACTAACCGTTTTTTAAATAACAAATATTGTAATATTTGAGGGGCGTTTTCACCCTCTTGGAATTTGAGATTCGAGAAACCCCTCCTTATCAAACCTCTACACCCCACAGTCAATCCGTTTGCCAAAAATCAGCTTTAAACGTTCAGCCGTTTAAGTAGAATCGTGATTACTCAATGGTTAAATTTTATGAAACACCCTGTATAAATTTTTAAAAAATCTTAAAATATGTAAAACAACAAAATAAAATATTTTGTTTGAGAGTTTTTCCGAAAAACTAACCGGTTAACTTAAGGATTTTATTTATTAGTATAGATTCTATAGCTGGTGGTTGTTTAGAGGTGGTAAATCTAGCAGGATTTTTTTCGTGATAGAACTTAAATTAACAGTGACACAAATTTATTTTAAATGATATACGCCCTGTATATGTTTATTCGATTTGTTTGTACAATTATTAAATTATTGGCTTATCTGGTCGATAATGTACTAATAAATATGACAGTTGGAGAGGTGATTAATTATCCTGTGTGACATCTGGAATTATTTTCAACAGATTTTTAAGTATGTATTTGGTTTCGTATTTTTTTCGGGGTTTATTTGCGCATAAACGAAATATATTATTATACCATAATATTGCTGATTTTTGATTTATATATTTGTATTTCCATTGAGTTTTTGTGTTATATACATAAAACTCAATAAATAATTAACATCAGATAAACAAATTAGAATAAAAATGCTTCGAAGAAAAATAATAGAAACAATTTTACAAGACCTGGTATAGTATAGGTTCAGAGGAATTAAGAAGTAGTTATTTATTTATTCTACCTTTTTTCGTCGAATAACCCTTAATTTAAACCGGCGATTGCTAGGATATTTTATCTCTTTTTTACCGCATTTAATTGCGAGATCGATAACGAAATTTTCAACAGAATTAATTGTTTTTAATGGCGGTACATGTCAAAAGCTTCCAAATATATTAATTGGAGAGTATTGTTAAAATTTAATTGATTTTTTTATACAGCATCCAATGAATTCATACATGTTTATGTTAACACGTAAAGCAAGGCAAAATCGAAATTTTTGATCCACTAAATTATAAGGCGTTAAATAAAAATGGTCTTGGACAGTAAGAGAGTTACCCCCAAGAATTCCCAGGTCCCCCAACACCCCCGAAGGCACTGGGCGCTCTTATTGACAAGACAAACAAACGGTCTGACGAGTCGATGCGAAGATTGCAAATTGGAGCCGTCAATACATTCTAACATGATCAGCAGGCCATCTGGGTGGGAATCAACTAACCAAACAAGACAATAGAACAGGGAAAAACAATTATTGGAAAATCCTGAACGATTCCGCACTGAAACAAAAAACAAAAATATATGAAAAGGATTTTTAAAAACAAAATAGTATATTTTTTTCATTTTTTAACCTGGATAAGCTAAACATAAGAGATATAACTACAAAGTAATCTTTAAAAATTGGGAATTGCCAGAAATTATTCATGTTTTTTTTTTGGTTTTGAAGGTTGCCACGTCAAAAAAATGACAAATTTTGTAATCACTCTGTATATATTTCAAGGTAATTGATTCTTTATCGACAAAACCAATAATTCTGTAATTATTTTTTAATGCTCTATAAAACTTTATGGCGGGCTAATTGTGTTATAATAGCATCAATCAGAATCAAAGACTGTGTGGAATTTATAAGGCTTATAAAATCGTATATTATAATGTTTATATAAACTTATTTTCCGCAGATTTATCGTTATAATAAAAATAAATCGGAATTACTATGGTTTTAAGTGTTTATCGATGGTTTAAAATCGATGGTCGTGATTTATTATTTGATTCTCTCATAATAAAATATTTTATCGCCTAAAAATTGTGTTAATGTAGTTATAATTTTAATGATCTACTTTTCAGACAAGTCATATTAATATACACTAAACTTACTGTACAAAATTAATAATACAATAAGGTACCAAAAATATACTAAACCAAAAAAAGTAGTTTATCTTTTGAGAATTTTGAGTTATCTTTTATACAGGGTGTTTCAAAAAACATTCGCCATCTCTCGTGGGGAGATTCCTCACGTAAAAATAAGATTTATTTTTCATATCAACATAGCTCCGATGCTGCTTTGTTTCGTAGCTACAGGGTGTTAAAGTCTTGTTGTGAAACACCCTGTATATGCTTTTATATATATACGACTTAGCTAATA